GGGGGGGGGGGCATTTCTCACTGAAAGAAACTGGTCCAGATGACACGATTTAAACTTTTTTTTTATTATCTACCTGAATGATTGAACTTACAACCCTTTTTTTTTAATTGAAATCGATTCTGACATATATTCACACATAAATATTGCAGCATATTACAAAGTGTCCAATCAATCATTTCTTGTTTTGTGATTTTTTTTTGTCTTTCTATCATGCAGACAGTTCAATACATATTTTGCTTTGTTTAAAATATAATCTCTTCTTGTCTCAAGTGTGCTGATTACTTACAAAGAACTCGTATTAAAAAAGTCCACAAAAAACAGTACTTTTGAAGAATAAAGTTTATTATCGTAGATCAATATATTTCAGTTGAATATGAGAAAGCACTTTTCTACAATTAAAAATGTCTTTGCCTTTACATTGTTTCATGCAGGAAAAAAAAAAAGATGCTGAGAAATAATTAAAATGATGAATATTCACAACGTTCTTATCAAATTAGGTGCATAAACGTGCACGCTTTGTATCTTTATGTCATATAATCAACACATGAGAAGCTTTTTGTTGTTAGGGACATTCTTTGCGAAGTAAACAAACAAACGGTGATTTATTTGAGCATGGATAATCATTCCAGTTATACTTGTTGCCATAATTGACGTGTCCACAGTGTTGATTCCCATTATCATTGCTTGGCTGTCCACTGTCCCATTGGGAAAAACTGTATCGAGACCCATCAGTCCAAATCCATCCTCCTTCCTTGTGCATGTCAGTCAGTCCGATCCAGGTCCATTCTCGAGTGGGATCAAAGTTCTTGATCAAGGACAAGACAAAATCGTGATCTTGCACATTGTGGATGGACACCAGGTTGGCTCCCTCTGACAAACACTGCATCTCTGCTTCACCCCAGGTCAGACGTGAAGCAAAATACTTGTAGCAGCGATTGTTGAAGCTGAACCAGAACATGGGACAGTCGCCTCTCTGCAGCTTCAGTTCCTGTCCATCTGAAGGAGACGCAGCAGCCAGAACCAGAACAAACAGTGAGAGGAACAGCATCATGGTGGAGTTTAGAGTCTCCAAGTCTGAGAGCTTTGAATGATGGGATGGATGCTGGAAAGAATCCTGCAGAGTCCACTGACCTGCTGCTTCTTTTATATCCCTCAGAGAGGGTGTCTGACTTGTTGCTGTGATGTCATTGGTCAGAGATCTGGTAACTGATCCAGCTGTCACGCCTGCAGCACAAAATCTGGTCATCTGATGGAAAATGAACCTGGATTTTTGTTCATAAATGTATATTTTTATAGAATTGATCTTAAGTAGCCCTCTAATAGTATTTGTATTTTAAAAGTGTTCATATACAGTGCAGGAGCCTCAAAGATAAAGTATTTCCTATGTTTGGATTTAAATTAAGATTTTATTCTGAGGGTAAATTAAAAATCTCACTCATAAACTTTAAACACAAACATTTCAAAATGTTTTCAAATGTTCTGCCTTTTTCCGTATCCTCTACATCACTGCTTCTCAAACTACATTGAAATGAAACAAGGACATGCTGTTTGTTATCATATACAATTGTTTTGTTTTTTATTGCACTGTTATTGTGCAGAGATGACCGAGTTTAATCGCTCATGAACGTCTTGGCAGGTTTAAAGTTTTGGATCAGGACTTTTATTAATACGGACTCTGAACAAACAGTAGATAAAATCAAAAGCAATCTTTTTTTTAATGCCAGTCATCTGTTTAAATTTCCTTGTTCCATTCCTGTAAATGCTCTCCTTTTTACAGCTTTATCTTTTACTTTTCATTTCTGTTATATTGTTATTGCAGCATTAATATTCAGGTATCATTGAGTTTAATCTGGAGGTGATTTTCTGTGCCAGAAGGTTCTGATCAGGACATGATGACCGTAGAAGTGAATCGCTCAGCATTTTTATTTTATCTTATTTACCAGTATTTAGAAGGAATTCATATTACATTGCATTTCTCAACAGTTTATAGCTAAGATTATTGCAAACACGCACGTATCTTTGAGTTTTATCTTGGGAAATCTCAGAGCACATTTGAAGCTCTTGATTAGGATTTTGATCAAAAGTTACTCAGTCAGCATGAAACGGATACAAAGAAGTCTGCTATAAAAACACAACACGACTATCATCTGAGAATTTTTCAAACTATCAACTGGAGAAAAAATAGAATCAGATTTTATATTAATCTGTCAAAAGAAATGTAATTAATTAGCTGAAAGTATTTTTAATAGAAAGTTATATGTTCATCGTATTCATCAATCCTCACTCACTCATGTCCCATACCCACATAAATTTAATGTTTTACGGTTTAAAATGAATTTCATGGCTTTAACTGTATAAAGTGAGGAATAATGTGTTGCTTTCTGGAGGTTTTGTTGTTCATGAAATCTTTAAAAAAATGTTTTACATATCTGTATAAATTGTAAAATAAACATAACATGTCAAAAACTTTAGTGTTTGGTGTTTTGCATTGTAATTAGTAATTTACTCTCATTTTAAATGTGGACTTTTGCTACTTTATTTTTCCTTAGTTTTGTTTTGTTACAGTGTGTAAACTCACGAGAAGAGCAAGATTTCAAAGATCAGTTCCATCCATCCATCCATCCATCATCCATCCATCCAACATCCATCCATCCATCCATCCATCCATCCATCCATCCATTTTCTTCCACTTATAGACTTTTCTCTCTCCAGCCACTTGGGCCAGCTCCTCCGGGGGAATCCCGAGGTGTTCAACATAGTCCCTCCAGCGTGTCCTGGGTCTTCCTCTGGGTCTTCTCCCAGTGGGACGTGTCCGGAACACCTCACCAGGGAGGCGTCCAGGAGGCATCCTAACCAGATGCCAAAGCCTCCTCAACTGGCTCCTCTCGATGTGGAGAAGCAGCGGCTCTACTCTGAGTCCCTCCCGGATGATCGAGCTTCTCACCCTATCTCTAAGGGAGAGCCCAGACACCCTGCGGAGAAAACTCATTTTGGCCGCTTGTATCCGTGATCTCGTTCTTTCAGTCACAACCCAAAGCTCATGACCATAGATGAGTGTAGGAACGTAGATCGACTGGTAAATAAAGAGCTTCACCTTTTGACTCAGTTCTCTCTTCACCACAACAGACCAGTACAGCGCCCGCTTCACTGCCGACGCAGCACCCTATCAGTCTATTGATCTCTCGCTCCATTTTTCCCCCATTCGTGAACAAGACCCCAAAATACTTAAACACCGTTCGTACAGGGACCTAACAGCCCGTATCAATGGGCCTGATACCCCATACTCCTCGAGAACCCTCCACAGGGCTGCAGGTGTAGAGGTGGTCCAGCGTTCCACGACCAGGATGAAAACCACACTGCTCCTCCTGAATCCAAGGTTCAACTATCCAACGGACACTCCTCTCCAGAACCCCTGAACAGACCTTACCAGTGAAGCTTAAGAGCGTGATCCCCCTGTAGTTGGAACACTCTGTGGTTTTCTGTTTTCAAAGGTTTTAAATATATTGTAAAGTAAATAGAAAGCTGTTGGGGTAAACAAACATAACTTTTATTAACTAACCTAAAGACATAACAAATAAGAGACAAAACCCTCAGATTTGAGGGTTTCTTGTTTGTGTTTGCAGTTATTGCGGTCATTAACCTTGTGTTGTATTTTTCTTCACATGGACTCTAAAAACGGGTCCAGCATCTGTGTCCGATCAGTTCATCTGGGTCTATTTCCTGTCCTCTCAGCCTCCAGCACTCAAAGCTTCCTGGTTCTGGTTCTGCTGCAGGTTTCTTCTTGTTGAAAGGAAGTGGTTCTGTTCCACGTTCCACTGCTGCCTTCATGTTTCCTCAGTGAGTCTGGATCTGCTTTGAACTGAATTGAGTCTATAAACTGGACTTTTTGTTGCTTTTTTTGCAGTGTCATGAAATGACTTGTCGAGGGGAGTGGTGGTGCAGAAGTTAGAGAAGGTGAGCCTGTGATCTAGAGGTCGCAGGTTCAAATCCCTGGACTGTTACAAAATTTGTGGGTGGGAAAGGTGATGCACCTACATCTGCCTCTCATTTGTCCCACTGCTGGCCCTTGATCTCCCCGATCTGCTCCCAGGGCGTCTTAGATGGCAGCCCTCTGCTCCACACCAGTGGCTCAGTGGTTGGTGGCTGTGTCAGGAAGGGCATCTAACATAAAACATACGCCTAAGCTGAATGCTAGTTTGCTCGCTGTGGTGACTCGAAAAGGAGAGCGGTCAGAAGAACAGTCGTTGTCGTGATGTGTTGGAGAAAAATACTCTCGCTTTCGTTAAGAGAGGAACAGCATCGTGGTGGAGTTTAGAGTATCCAAGTCTGAGAGCTTTGAATGATGAGACAAAATCAACCCACTCAGTATGTGAGAGGTTTAATTTACTTATTTTATTTCGATTTTCTTTTATTTATTTCCTGAATCCTTTAATGGGGCAACTCTAACAAGGACATGCTGTTTGTTATCATATACAATTCTTTTTTATTGCACTATTATTGTGCGGTGAGGACTGAGTTTAATCTGATGAACGTCTCAGCAGGTTTAAAGTTTTGGATCAGGACTTTTATTCATGCAGACTCTGAACAAACTGTAGATAAAATCACAACAATCACTTTAATGCCAAACATATGTTTTAATTTCCTTGTTCCCTTCCCGCAAATGCTCCCCTTTTTACAGCTTTATCTTTGAATTTTCATTTCTGTTATATTGTTATTGCAGCATAAATATTCAGGTATTATCTGAGTTTACGGGTAATCTACTGGAGGTGATCTGAGCAGGAAGGTTTGATCCGGCCTTCTCAGTGATTAAACTTTGGTTAGAGATTCATGAGTCCAACAGCTTCAGGGTAGAAGCTGTTCCTCAGCCTAGTGGTTCTATGCTCCTTAACCTCCTTCCCGAGGGGAGTGGGGCAAAAACGAGTGCTGGGTGAGTAAGGTCCTTCATGATGCAGGTGGCCCTCTTCCTGCATCTAGAGGTGTAGATGTCTGTGATGGTGGGGAAACTGACTCCAACAGTCTTCTGTGCAGCCTTCACCACTCTCTGCAGAGCTTTTATTTCTGCAGCTGTGCAACCTCCATGCCACACGTTGATGCTGGAGCACAGGATGCTCTCCACTGCCCACCTGTAGAAGGAGATGAGGACTGAGCTTCCCAGACCAGCTCGTCTCAGCCGTCTGAGGAAGTAGTCTCTGATGAGCTTTCTTGATCAGGCTGGTGGTGTTGTTGCCCCAGCTGAGGTTGTCACCCAAGTACTTGTAGCTGGAAACCACTTCCACCACATATCCTCTTATGTTCAGTGGAGGGTAGGTGTGTTTGTTCCTTCTAAAGTCCACGATCATCTCCTTTGTCGTCTTCTCCACATTGATGTGACGGTTGTTCTTCCTGCACCAGCTCTCCAGGTGTTCCACCTCCTGCCTGTAGCTGGACTCATCGTTGTTTGTGATGCATCTCACCACCGCTGTATAATCTGCAAACTTTACAGTATGACAGCCTGGATGGGTAGCTGCACAATCATACATGAGCAGAGTGAACAGGAGAGGGCTCAGCACACATCCCTGAGGGGAGCCAGTGCTGAAGGTTATGGTGGAGGAAGAGAAGTTGTGGATCTTCACAGACTGCTCTGTTTGTTAAGAAGTCTAGTACCCAATTGCAAATGGAGGAGCTTAGTCCTAATGTGAATAGTTTGTCCATCAGGGTTTGGGGGATCATGGTGTTGAAGGCAGATGTGAAGTCCGCAAAGAGCATATGGACGTAGGAGTCGTTCTGCTCCAGGTGGGTGAGAGCAGTGCGGACCACAGAGGAAATGATGTCCTCTGTTGAACAATTCTCACGGTATTCGTACTGAGGGTCCTTGTTGATGTTGATGGTTGTTTTGATGTGAGTCATGACCAGTTTTTTTAAGCATTTAGCGACTATCAGGGTGAGGGTTGGAGTTCTGGAGTACTGACTAAAATCCATGTGCCTCCTTCAGTTTAAATGAAAGTTGTTCCTTGTGTTCAAACAACATACTGCAGGTTGGCCACGTAGTTTAATTAAATCTAATTAAATTCAGATTTTATTTGTAGTTGGATGCTAATGTACACTATGTTTTAGCAGGCCATATGAAAATGTGCTCTTGAATAAAGTTACTGATCCAAATGCATTTATACAAACACAAAACCAAAGAAAATAACGCGACGTTCAATATTTCTTTTTTCCAACATTTCCACCTTGGGCAAAACCACAAAGCTGTCACGAGGACATAAAGGACAAAAAAGATGTACACAAGATTGAAAAATGCTCCAAGACCAGCAGCAAGAAGCTCTGTGAGAAGATGCCAGCTGCTGGTGCCATTATTCAGAAATGGAAAAAATATACAATTGGTCTGGAGTCATGCAAGATCTTGTCTCCTGAGGTGAGGATGAGGATTATGATGAGAAAGGTGAGGGATCAATCTATAACTGTATGGACAGTTTAATGATCTGGAGGCAGTTGGGACTAGTCTCCAAGAAGATCACTGGAAACACAACTCACTGTACTGGACTGATATCTACGAGGTTCTTCAGCTCAAGGAGACGTATTAATTTAATAGAACCATGATGGGACCTTACAGGTGAAACAAGATGGGATTCACCCGACCCAGCTTTGTATCTTTTCCCCGACGCCTTTTGACACCTCTTTGGCCGTGGTGGTGGAGAGGCAAGAAATTAGTAAACCAGCATTTTCTTAATGCGCAGAACAGGATGAGGAGTGTCTGAAAATGACTGCTAGTCACGGTTGTGCCACGTGGCTCTTTTAATAAAGTAGAATTTAAGTGGAATGCTATGGGGGGAAAACCTGATACAACCGTTTGGGTTTGGAAGACATAAAAATGTGCCATTTTCTAACTCTGCTGTAAGTTCTAGTCATGATGTTCAAACTCCAACAAGGTCCATGTTGGTGAAGGAGCACGAGCTCATCTACAAAAATCAGTCAGACCAGACAAAAACAGGAACATTAAAATATTTCTGAAGAGAATCAGCTACAGTAAATGTCAAAAACACTTAAGTGTAGAAAGGCCAATTTCTTCTACTACATGTCCTTCAGAGCACAGAGCATTATTGATCATTATCCATTCACAGGATCTGCACTAAATCTAACCATTCTCAGTAAAACTTGGACATGAATGCAGCTTTAAAAAAAGATGTGATTTCAGCCGAAGGTTGAGGAAGACAGACGTACTGCTTTGTAGTTGACGTTTTCATTTATAACAGATAAATAATAAACAAACATGGCATATATTTACACATAAACAATATTACAATAGTACAAAGCATCCAATCTTTAGCTTTGTGACGTTTGTGTTTTTCTAGTCATGCAAACAAGTTTTTTTTACAACAATGCTTTTATATAAAAAAAGAAAAAACTTTACACTCCTATGACAGTGGCTGATATAACACTGAATACAGCCTCCTGTTCTTTCATTCAACTTTTAACTGCAGAAGGCTTTTCACGCTGCCCTCTGCTGCCCCCTAGTGGCTACACAACAGCAAAACTACTTGAACTTGGTTGAACAGCTTTAAAACTCACTTCTCTCCTTATGTGTGCACCTCTACGTAACTAAACCTCTGAACATGGCACAAAAACAAGACGTTCTGTCACTATAAATAAACAATATATATTTCAATAAATAACTAACATAATAATCGCTTTGCTCTTTGAACATGATCAGCAGAGATGTATGTACATCATGTACAGCTTAAATGGGGACCAAACTTTTTAATTTGTGAAGGTGAACAGATTGTGGCTCTGATTTAAAAAGCTCGCCACAAGTATTCTCAAGAATATGTAATAACGTGTACCAAATATATGAATTTATCATGTCTTAACTCTTGTGCCATACAAAGTGTAGACTTATAACCAAATGTGATAGAGTAAATAAACATCCCACAACTACGAGTCAGCTGCTGCAAATTTAAAAAGGTCACAGACAATACTTTTTCATGATCAGATATTTGGATACTTTCAGTGTTTTTCCAATCCATCTAAAATCAGAAATTCAAAAGTCTTGTATATCCTGCATGTGTGGGTGAGAGTCTGCAGAAAACAAAGAGGAAATCGTCTTTCAGAGCCGTCTAACACATTGAGAAGACAATCACGCCACTGAACACTTTCTAACTTTTTCTACTATGAACCAAACCGTTTGAAAAAAAGTGAGTATTTGATTTATTATGATCAGCGCAAGGTCGCACTGGGCTCTGAAGTGCTTAAATGTTGAACATCTCTAACAGTATTGCACTTTATATATTTAGAATGGTAAAAAAAGGCAACACTTTATTTAGAAATTCAACAGAGCTGTCACAATAAAGTGACAAGGAATGAGCAAACAAGACCAAAACTAATAAAAATAATGATGTGTGACAATTACTGTCCAATTAGTGTAACTGTATGGAAGTGATTATTTGTTAATAAGTCACATTTTTCACTTTGAACAACAAATGTAAACAAGATAATAAAAAAAAAATGAAAGCAGCCAAAGGGATAAATTATGTTCATTACAAAGCACAAAGTCCGTCCCTGCGTTGTAATGTCAGCACCCTGCTTTAGCTCTCAGTTTAATCGAGCCCATTTCAAAACGAAATGCTCCTTTCAGTCAGTACGAATCGGCTTGATCTTTACGTGAACGTCTCGTGCTGCACTTTGACGGACCTGCGTCGACACGCCTCAAAAATAAAGCGGGACAGGAAAAAAAAAAAAACGATTCATCTACGCGGAGACGGTTCCCATAGAAACGCCACACGTGGTTCAGCTGCACAGTCTGAACTCAGTCGGTGTCAGAAACCATCCCTGCGTGGAGTCAGATGAGATTTATATGAGCGAGATGTTACATCGAGGTTCACACCAGGATGAGATGCTGCGGTGTAATAAACTAAACGAGTCAGCTGCAACATAAAGTTTGGCACTCAGAAGTGTTTAGGTCCACGCTATGTACAATGAAAACTTATCTTGATCTATTCACAGACATTATAGAAAAGTGTGTATGAGGAGTGTTTGGCTAAAGCGCAACAAGAACTTGAAGGTGAACGGTTCAGTATCCATCAACAGTGGTTTCTTCTTGTATTTTTTAAAAGCTCCACATGATACAACTACATAACATGTAACCTGAACACAAAGGAAAATATCTCTGCAGGTGAAAGCGGATCGGACCTTCAGCGATGCACCTCGCGTGCAGAAGACTTTAAACGAATCAAAATGGATTTCTGTTTGAAATGATGAAAGGTTACCGAGTCCGTCTGCAGTGACAAAAACAAGTTTTTGTTATTGTCAGAGCAGGCTCATAGATGAGCTGATCCTGAAAACAAATCAAACTCAGCCACGTAGATATCACAACATCCCCGACTCTGCCTCAGTTTGGCAATTCTTCATCACTCCGCACGGATCCTGGTCCTGTGGAAGGTTCACAGGAGGGTGCACGGAGGTTACAAGTCCTTTACGAGCACTTGCTCAGTGCGAGAAATCCTTGCACAGATAGCGCGGTTGAAAATGTTTCTCTGAGCACGACTCACTGCACGTCTGACACCACTGCTGCTTGTGTGATCTTTTCGCAGTGTGCGTATGAGTGTGACATTTCTGCTGTACAAAGTGTCCCCGGGTTCCACCGCCTGGCGTTCCCTGTTCCCCCGTTTGTGCGAGCGACACGTTCGTGTCTTTAAGCTCGGGGCTCCAGTCTGTGCGACAGTTCGAAAAGCGTCCGCTGATTGTCGATGATGTGCAGGCAGTGAACGCTCGCCCTCACCTCCGCACTGTCCACCCCAATCACCTCGTTGCCTAGGAGATGGTGACAAAACACACTCGGGTTTTTAAAATATACTTAAAGGTCTAAACTCTATAATTATAAAAATAAAACCAATATGTAAAAGCCAATCGGAAACAGTTGCTTAGTAACTAGGAGAAAAGCTGTAAATGTGTAGTACACAAACCCGCCTGCAGATGGTGCTCAAGTCCTCACATTGAGAACATTTAAACCTCAAAACACCAAAAGTTCCTGTAACTTTTTACAGACTTAATTCAGAACAGTTGAGCAAACAGTACCAAAGTGTGGGTTGCTGAACATCATCAGCTTCTCTCTCAGAACAAACATTTTATTCACTGAAAATGTTTGTTTGACCAGTAGTAGAGGCGCCTGAGTGTAAATATTAGTTTATGACTTTTTTCTTCTTCCTCCCACAGTTGGGGTCCGGTCCAACAATTAAACCAGAGATGTATTACCCCCCGCCCACAAACATTAAACTTGAAAATGCCTGATACCTTAAGATTGCAGCATGATTTCTACAACTTAAACAACATTTTACTGTATGTGGTGTACTGACAGCAAAAGGACTCAAACTAGAGTTGAATTAGGGCCTAAAAAAACCCAACCTGGCCCAAATCATTCTTTCCGGGTCCGACCCAAATAATTAACTGTGATTAGAGGTCTGAACCAGAAAAAAGAACTTATTTTTTTAATTAAGCCTTTACTGCTTTTGTAAGTAAACCAGTTTGAAAGAAAGAAAGAAACAAAGAAAGGAAGACATAATATTTCTTGCTTATTAACAAGAGTCAGTGGATTATTATAGTTATTATAGTTATTAATGGCCAGCGGACGCGTGCGGCTGATGATCCACTGTGCAGTGTTGCTTCAGTTTCTCATACCAGGCAAACAATGTTGATAGTGGGATATTTGTCACCCTCCAGTTCTCTCTGTGCACGGCAAAACGGTTCTAGAAATGTGACTAAAAACTCAACATGTCGGGGAGAAGTTGTCCATGTGCGCCTGCTCCACGCGAGCCTCCACCTTCTCACTAAAACTGCACCATAGAAGCCCGAGCCCACATGCGCAATTGTTGCGCAATGCGCCAGCGCTACTCTCTTTTCACAGTCTGATTAACGGCTGCGATCTATTTTATTTTCCTCATCCTCAACACATCAACTTACTACGACGAAGCTTTAGGACCACGCTAAGAGAAACTTTAAAAAAAAATTACATTGCCACGTTAATGAAAAAAAGAAAAGTCATAAAATTACGAGAATAAAGTCGTACAAGAGGTTTTTTTTTTTTTAGCTGTTGTTTTCTTTTCCACGAGTCGGAGCCACGATGTGACCTGTCAATCAATCCAGTAGGCGTGTCAGCAAACGACCAATCCGAAGCTGAATGGTCCTTACCTGCAGAGAGCTGGAGCGCACCACCATAATCTGATGCATACAAAAACACAACAGCAGGCGGCAGTACTGGAACACACTTTGAGTAAGAGCGTCAATAACAATAAAGTTTAACAAATATTCTTCGTTTTACCACAGTTAGAATACAGTAAACCTGCTTTATTGTGTCGGAGTTCGGATAATATTACGACTCATTCAGCTTTGGATTGGTCATTTGCTGACACGCCTACTGGATTGATTGACAGGTCGCGTCGTGGATCTGACTTGTGGAAGAATAAAATAAAATTAACGACAGCTGTAAAAAAAAAAAGAAAAAAAAAAGTATTTATTATTTAGACTTTCTCATAATATTAATAATTTATTTAACTTTATTCTCGTAATTTTGTGGCTTTTAATTTTTTTTTCTTAGCGTGGCTCTAAAGCTCCATTGTAACTTACTGCCTCCTCCTCAACAAGCAGATTAACACAATTTTACATCGTGCATTCTTATTTAGTTTTCTTTGTGCTGTATGGTTTGTAAAACTGCATCAAAAGCCCGAGACTGACCCAGCCTGTCCATTAAGCACATTCTTTTGGCCCAACCCGGCCTGAATTTCAGGTCAGACCGGGCTCGGGTTAGAAATCGCAGCTCTAACTCAAACCTACGAGCTTTCCTCAATCTTAATCTCTCCACATTTGGCTTCATGCCTCCACCACTAGCCTAAACACTGCAAGGCCAAGTTTGAGGACATATAAAACATTTATGTCTGTGATAATCATTGGTCTTTAATTGCTCTAACACCCTGCAGTTTAACTCTTTTCTTCAATCAATTTGTGGATAATTTTGTATATTTTGTGTTTATTTTTCTCTATTGTCAAATGTATGACAAGAAATGTATCACATGCATAAGAAGACAATTACCAGAAAAGATTAGAACATTCATACGAGCTGCTAGAAGTCGAGTCTTTCTTGTGTTTGTTAGATAAAGTGCGGACGAGAGGACTCACCTTGTTGGTCACTTTGGCAATGGCGTATCATTCTCACCGTGTCTGCTATCATATGCTGTTAAATTGAAAGAAGACGTGTCGTCTCAGTGACATCATCAATTTTAAATGTAGCAAATCCCGTATTTTGAAACGACTGAGCCAAGATTCAAATTAATCTGTCACCTGCACAGTCAAAGCTCTTAATTATTCACCAGCCAAAAAGAAGACATGTTATTTAGAGATTGGCGTTTCCCGATCAAATTTCTCGATGTTCGTATGAACTAATTTAAGGTGCAAAATCTTTAAAGACGATACAGAACTGAGTCAACTCACCAGCTTCTCAAAGTTGACCAAGTTGTCGTGAAAGGTCTTGTTTCCCTCGTGGATAAAAGTGATGTCTAAAAGCAGCAGAGTGGTACAGTAAGGTTTCATTTAGTGTTTTATGTGTCCGTTAGTGAAAAATGTAGACGATACCTTTTAAGAGAAGAGGCATAAAAGGGATCTTAGGAGGTTTCATCCTCTTGAAGGCCTCTCTATAAGCTTTATGGTTCATGGATGGATCCTGCATGAAGACAGAACCATTAGTAAAAGAAAAGGTTTGGAAAACGACGAGTGATTGGTCTGTTCAATCATAAGCGAAACACGTTTTAATCCCCGCTTCTGTTCTCACCGTGATGAGCTCCAACTCGGAAAACAACTTCTTGAACTTCCCTGGACATTTCTGAAAAAGAGGAGGTTTAGTCAGAACTGGATGTGCAATAATTACTGTGCATTTCATTAAACGCAGCCATACCTCCCACGTTTGGTTGAGCCGGCTGACAGCAGCTGTGTTCAGACCCATGATGATGGCAAATGCAGAGTGTAGATTTCTTTGGGATTTACAGCTACATGCACAGAAGAAACAAAGAGTTAAACCAAGCAGAATCTTCACGCTCCTGAATAAATAACACCTTGTTTGATTTCCATGTACTCACTGAGCTGCAATCTTGATGAACTTCTTGAGCAGCTGCACTCTCTTATTGAGCGACACACACATCAGAACCTCTGACATGACCCACTGCTGGACCTCGTTACATCGCTGGAGGAGAACTGAGAGCGCCGCTGTGTAACCTGCGCCGGGAGCGCGGCTCAGGGTGTAGTACACCAGCTCCTGCTGCGCACGAAACGAGGGAAGCATGTGTGTGAAATCAACCGGACTTTTGAGGAAAAATCAAAAATAAAGACCGTTATGGTAATAAGAATAAATTATTTCACTTTTAAACAGGAAGCCAGTAATACTGGGATTTTAATGGACCTGAAACCAAACACGGTTTTTGATTTATCAAACATATTTTTAGAGGGTTTAAGGCACGGGTGTCCAAAGTGTGGCCCGAGGGCCATTTGCGGCCCTTGGAGTGATTTTGTGCGGCCCACAACTGCAGTTTAAGAATGGTATAATTTTGGACAACAGGCTTAAGAGGTCGATGTAGACTTTCTGAAAATTTGTTGGCAATCATTTTTATATAAAGTTTAGGTTTAACAGCAAAACAGTTGAAAAACAATCTTCTCAAAATGAGCAATATTAAGCAAAATACAAACCTTTGGCTATAATCTTTTTATTTTCACTTCCTGGTACAAAGCACCAAAAACCTTCACAGGTTTCTACCAGAAAGGAGAGTTTTGGATAAAGACTCATAAAACTTGGCTAAATATTGCAGCTGATAAAATAATCAAAAGGGAAACTAGACATTAATAAAATGTGGTATCATCTACATACGAGTTGATCAACTTTATCAAACCTTCTATGAATCTGTTGTAGCGACTGACAACTGGACCATTTTTCAGAACTTGGATCAGCCTTTTGGGACGTCCATGGTCCAAAAGGCTGATCGACCCCCTTTTCAAAAGACACTTACTCATATTCTACTTTTATTGCTGAGAACAGACTAAAATGAACTTTCCAAACACAAGAAAACAACAAACATAGACACAACAAATGAAATAAATCAAATACTTTATTTAAAAAAAAAGTGAAGCTTTTAATGTTTTGGATCTATAACAATTTAAAACTCTTTCTCCACCAAAATTTTGTCCTTTCTCCAACATATTGTTCACGTTGAGAGTTAAATTCTCATTTTTGTGGCCCATGAGTCCTTTCATCTGGATAGTTTTGGCCCACATATTACAACATCTGGACACCCCTGGTTTAAGGTAAGTCAATAAACCCATCTGTTCAGCATGGTGGCAGTAGTGTCATGCACTGGGACTAATTATTGTGTTTGTACCTCATGGATGGATTTGAAAAGACTCCAGTCCAGGTGTGTGAGTGCTGCTGCCACATCCCAGGTGTTGATGCCCAAAAGGCGAACCGGCCTCCTGCTTAACTCCGCACAGTCTGTTAATGGAGGCTGCAAACATAAACCAAACAAAACGGAGCTAAAATGCACATTAAAACAATCAAAACTATTGTAGGAATTAGGCTCTGTCTATGTAAGCTAAATAATATCTTTGATTTTGTGTGAATACATTTCAGTTATGATGCTAGACACATTAAAACAAATAGAATATTAAATTTCAGGGAAAATTACAAAACACCCCGGGGCTCACTTTGTTTCCATCAGTGCTTCTGAAAATCTGAGAAAGATCTGATGCTAAAGAGAAAGTGTGGCAAAAACAGAACCAGGTGTTTACGTACCAAGATCTCAGTGAGGTCCCTGTGGCAGGCCACTAGCTTTCCCTGTGGGGTCAGAGACTCTGAATAGACACAGTCACTGGGCTGCAACACTCTTCGCTCTGCAGACAAGTCCACGCAAAACGGGAGAGAGGAGACAAAGATGATGAGGGTGAAGGACAATGAATCTCACCGAGGACAACTTTTACACTTGAGTTCACTTTTAAAGGACTACTAAGAAACACTGCATGCAGACAGGTCTAAACAAGTACAGTTGAAATGTGTACATGGACATCCAGCTGTGCGCCTGTGTGTGTATTTTCTCTTGCGTTACTCTACCTCCAGTGTGCGACACCACGGCGAGCACCATGTCCTCCTCGGTTCTGTCCAGCTTCAGGCTCAGGATACGCAGCAGCTCCTGGGCCTCCAGAGCAGGATGTGTGTGGACACTTAGGTAGGAGTCAGCACTCACGTACACGCAAACGATCACTGAAAAACAAATGTGAAGTGGTTTAAAAATCATATGGAAGCACACGGAAAAATCAACGCTCAATTTGAGAAGGGTTTTATTAAGGACACAGGCAGACAGAAATGGGGAACACCGTGTATTTCTATACATTTGGGTGTATATCTTCACATCAATTGACTTTTTATCTGCACAACTCTGGAAAACGTTTCACATTCTGTACGTCTGCTTGTGTCTGCCTCTTACCTTCCCTCGTGTCTGGCTGTGAATTGCGGAGATGCAAACTGTTTTCCTTCAAACTCAACTGCTGATACGTTTGTTTACTCTGCCAACGAAAAAGCAGAAGAAAAACACGGAGAGCTGAAACGCTTTGTTTTACCTCCACCGGAGACCATTCGGTACAAGAAACGAGGACAGTTTCAATGTGAAACGGTTTTCTTTGACAAACCTTTTGATTTGGAGGGCAGTCATCCACCGTGCTGCAAGAAACACACAGAAACAGGAGGGTTAATAGAAATCACACTTCAGAGTGTAAGCACGAACACACGAAAGCTCTTACTGTCTGCGACGCAGAAGTTTCTGAAACTCCTTCAGGTCTTTTTCCAGCGTGGGGAACTCGTACAGATCCTCTAAAACACATCTGTACAGTGTCTGACAAACAGAGAAAACAGGAAAGATGAAAAACGTTCCTGACAGCACGGACCACGTTATAGGAGCAGTCAGGCTTTTTCTGAAGTTGTTGTGTGAAGATGAGTCATCAGTGACTCACTAAATTGTCAGAAATGTAGTCAGGATTCTTGATAGAAAAATCGAACTAATTGCAGCTCAAAAACACACTCGTGTCACTTTTGCATCTGGCAGATGAACAAACGGAGGCTTTGCCAGGCGAAGGTGCGCACGGATCGTGTTTCAGGATTGCATGTTTGCAGGTTGTGCTGGAGCTCTAGTGTTCTCCTGGGTAAATAACCATCTGATGCAAAAGTGACATTTTGTAAAAATACATATTTTTTGTGCCACACTGTAATCTTGGCAATCTGAGTTGTCTAAGGTGCTGAGAAACACTCTTTTGATGACATCATTCCAAACATCACCTAACCTAGCTTGTTTATCGCCTTGGTGATCCTAAATAATGTGCTAACTGCTATCTGCTTCAGGTAAGACGGTGACTACTCAATGTTCATCCAACCAAAAAGAACCCAAAACAAATAATAATAAGTCTTGAAGGATTGTAAAATATTTCTGTAATCAGGACGTTTAGGTGCAGCTATTTTCTCTTGTGGCAATTGTTAGAAACAAAAATTAACACTATTGCTCAGGTTGAGTACAGCATTTGCAGCTCATTTAATAACTAATGTTAAGAGATAAGGTCTGTCCTGTGGGGTCTGGGTGTGTATGATGGATAATTAACAACCTGCATAAAAATTCTGAAGGTCCTAACAACAGGAATTTGCACAGATCAGCAAACACAAGGCTCACACAGCTCTTTATCACGGTCACTGACCCACCGTTGCCTCAAAAGTCCAATTCCATTATCATTTCTGTTACTAGGCAACCATCACCTGGGTTACACACTCCATATAAGCCTATACCCTTGTCAACCCTACCACTTTGGTTTCCATAGCAACAGCAGCTGAGCTGTCAGGTTATGAGGGAACAAGCGACTGGAGCCGGGGTGTTTCTAACCACATTCCGTCTTGACTTCTCAATTTGTCTCATGAGTGTGTTTGTCTCTTGTCTGGTGTCACACGATCAGAAGAGTTCAATCTGATTCAGTGCACCGTGCAAAGAATAATAAATAAATACATAACATAGAAGAAATACTTGATCCAGTTCTGCAAAACTTGATAACAGCTCTGTTTAATAAAAAGACAGCAACAGAAGTTGAATTTCTCCTCAGACGCTTTTCAGAAATGCGAGTGAAAACGGCACATTAGGATTAAGGTAATGAATAAAACCAACCTACAGGTGAATCGTGTTAGTGATGATGGATGCCAGCGCTGCCATACCTTCATGAAGCTCCTGACGTGCTCCTCTTCCTTGAGGAAGTCCTTATAAAGCCTGCTCCAGTGGGAGACGAGCCGCAGTACCTTGCGCTTCCTGAAGAGCATATCTTTGCCTTCCTCTTGGCCCCGGCAGCGTGCACTGCTATAGGTGAGTGCGGTCAAGGAAACAACAAAAGACAACGTGGAGCCTAAAAAGACGGGTGAGACAACTCATGTGGGACACTTTGCTTCTGCCTGCATGAAATAAGGATATTGTCCCAGCAGCGCCTGACAGAGGTCATTAGTGGACATGAACACAAGGTAGGTCAACAGGAAGTCATCCAGCAGCATTTCTGAAACACACAACACACTGAGTCACACTTCCAGGACCTTTATTGACAAAAAAGTCCAAGTGATAATGTTCTAAATAAATTTAGCTTGATTATAGCTACTTGATGACTGTCTGTCTTCAACCTAGTGAGTTTAGGCTTCAACCTAGTTAACACAAATTAAAACTGAAATAAAATGTTTAATGTGACGCTAACCTTCCTGTCTTCCCATTGCATCCCACTTTAAAGAGTTTTCAATGTCAACAACACTATACCAATAATGATAATAGCAACTAGACAAATTGCATTTCCTGCTAAAATGCAGTGTCAACGCTTACTGCAGAAGAACTTGTTGAAAAACATCTGAAATTAGCTAAAATGCTGAAATGTAGCTAAAATGGAAAAACAAGCCTAAGTTAGCAGAAGAAAATAGAATCGACACATTCTGCTGAATTAGGTTTAAATGAAAATTAGCACTAAAATTTGAACATTAACTTAAAAAGCTGAAATCAGCAAAAAATGGCTGAAAAGTAGCTGAAAAGGCTGAAAGAAACTTAAACTACCAGAAGGAAGCGGAAAGAGCTGAAATGAGCTAAAAAATGTGGAATTACCTGAAAAAGCTAAAAACAGCATTAAAAGAGCTAAATAGTAGCTGAAAGAGCAAAAAAGTTAAAACTAGCAGAAAAAAAGCTGAAAGGAGCATAAGAAGCTGAAATTGGTAGAAAGAATTTAATTAGGCTGAAAGTAACTGCAATTACCACTAAAAAAAACTTGAATTTGTCTAAAAACAGCTGAAATTAGCTACAAACATTGGTAAAAATGTGGCTGAAAAGTGAGAACAAGCTTAAATTAGCAGAAGAAATCAGAAATAACACACTTGCCCAGTTAGGTTGAAAAAAGCATAAATGAGCACAAAAAGTGGAAAGTATCTGAGAAAACATGAAATTAGCAAAAACAGCTAAATAGTAGCAGAAATAGCTGAAACTTGCAGAAATAAGCTGAAAGGAGCATAAGAAGGTGAAATTAGCACAAAACAGCTGAGAAAACAGCAGAAATTAGCTGGAAAATAGTTTAAATTTGCACAAAGAAGCTGAAAGAAGCTGAAGCAGAACAAAATGTGAAAGGAGCAACAAAAGGTTACAAAACAGACCTAAAGATTTCAAGGATGTAAAATGAGTTCAATTCATTTTCTGAGGATAAAATGGCAGAAAAGTCTAAATATTAAAAAAAAAAAAAAAAAAGCTAAAGTTGGACCAACACCAAAAGTCAAAGCACCCTTCTTCTGAAAGAGCTGAACATTTTGATATACAGTATGATTTGTTGAAATTGCACAAAAATTGTGGAACAAGAAAGATGCTGAAAAACATGCAGAAGAAAAATGGATCACAATAGTGTGAATGCTTCATAAACATTCGCACATTCAGCGATGATGCTCTGACAGAGACGTTAACTGCTGCTGGTGCATCCAGCTGTATTCAGGCCCCACGGTGGATTCTGATGAACCACTACAGTCTTGTGTTGCTCAGTAAGGAAATAAAAGTCAGAGGTATGTATACCAATTCCATGAAAGGGGGCAATCTTCAGAGACCCTCTGAATGCTGAGGGGGAATGTTTGTATTGTGACTATTACAACAACAGATTTCAACGTGATCTAAAAAAATGTCCTGTTTTGAAAATGTTGCCATCTTTAAATAGTCACTTTAGTTTGTAGTCAAAGACACAAAAAGTTACGACAATCTTATTTTTCTTGTCTGACATTCAAATCAACCCAAAGTTTTCCAGCAGCATCTGTCTGCGTTCTGATGAAGCAGATTACAGTTGATCCATTTTTCCTCGTTACTTTTCCACATCACCGAGGCAAGAGTTTACAGTTTTTGGCCAGTCACTGCAGATTTTAGAAGTTAGGCTTAAAATACAAGAAAATTGGAGCATTTCAGATTCGAGGTGCTCCAGCATTAAAAATATATAATTTTGAGAATCAAAACATGCAAAAAAAAAAAAAAAGTAGTAGACAGCCAGGATCAACATGTAAACGATTGTGGGCTTTAAAAGATTAATCTGAGTTTCTGTGTCAGTGAGGGTCGATCAGAGCAGGCTGAAGTGAGAGACAGGTGATCATCAGGTATGAATGAAATATAAACACCCCTCGCTGCAGCTGGTCATGAGCCACTGGTGGCATGACACAGCTCTGCACGTGTGTGTGCATGGTGTCAAACTCTCCATGAGAAATTATGGGACCTAAATATGGCTGTGTGAGGCAGAGTGAAGAAATCAATTATAGAAGACGGAGTACAGACCGTTGAGTTAATATTTCATTAACTGTCTGTCTGCTCTTTATAAATAAAAACAACTTTCCTGAGAGCTATTTTTAGACAGGTCTGACCCAGCTTGTTGCTGCTTCAGACCCCAGCGAGTTACTTTACTGTCACTCTCCTTTTTCTGAGACCTTTACAAGAGAAACAGCATATTCTTCTAAACTGCGGTGAATGCTGAGCTGAATGACTTCACTGATTTTTGGTGAAGAAGCTGAAACAGTTGTTAGACGTAAATGTCACAAAAGGCTAGCTAAAGGCTAAATGAAGCACATGGCAGCTAAACGTAAAAATAAGCAGAAGGCTAGATAAAAGCCAAAAGTACCAAAATGCAAAATAAAAGTAATTTTAGCTAAAAGCAGCAATGGCTAACTGAAAGTCAGTGTTTCTTTTGGCTGCTCCCTTCTTCAGGGGTTGCCACAGCGAGCTAACTCGCATGAAGGATTTGGCAATAGTTTTATGCTGGATGCCCTTCCTGATGCAGCCTGGGTTTGATCCCACAGCCTCAGGATTGCAAGAGTACAGCACTGACCACCAAGCCACTGCAGCCTCTGGCTAACTGAACGTTAAATGTAGCAAAATGTTAGCTAGAAATCAAAAGAAGCAAAAGGCTAATTAAAACTTCTTTCGGCTGCTCCCTTCTTCAGGGGTTGCCACAGCGAGCGAACTTGCTGGACACCTTTCCTGATGAAACCACTGACCACCAAGCATGTGGTCAGTGGTCATGTGGTCTGCTACCACAGACCAACAAGAGCCTTGCTCAAGAGCCCAGAGTAGGGCAAAAGAAGGTAGAGACAGGTGTGGGTGCTTCAACTATCCCACAATGGTCAGGGGATTTGAACTGACAACCTACCAATCACAGGTTCGCCTTTAACTTGGGCGCCACCAAGCCCCCAAAAGGCTAGCTAAAACTAAACGTTTGCTAAAACTAAAGGCTTGCTAAAAGTAGCAAAATACTAGCTAAACGTTTAATGTAGCAAAAGCATGCTAAAAGCTAAAAGTAGCAGAACAGTAGCTAAAACGCTAAACTGAACAAATATGTTGCAGCAGAATTAAAAGAAAAAAATATTTAGAAGGACTTTAAGAGAGCTCTACGTATTTTTATGAGAAAAATATTTGCTAATACAGTAGTCCCTTGTTTATTGCTGGGAATCCATACCCTAGACCCGCGATAAGTGAAAAGCCGTGAAGTAGGAATAGTAGTACAAGTATCAAGTAGTAGTTATTTATAGTGTATATATATAAAGATTTTAAACCCTTCCCACACTCTTGCATTATTCTAAACAATGTTTCTAAACTCAAAACGCTCTAAAAGAGCACAGAATGTCATGATTTCAGCTCCCTGCTTCCTCTGCTCTTTGCCACCTGCAAGTGCTCTTGGCCACGCCCACTTCTCTGCTGCACGGTGAACAGCTGATCAGCTGCAGCAGGAAGTTGATCCTGCAGTGTGAGCTGCACAAAGGTGCGGGAGGTGCTAAATAATTTAACATAATTTATTTTAAATAAAAATTACTTGCCGATCGTGCGGCTCATCCATCAATCAGCCAATTGTGCGTCATGTCCAAGCTTATTTTGAAAAACCGCGATAGAGCGAGTCCGCAATAAACAAACCAGGAAGTAGCGAGGGACTACTGTAAATTGAAATATATATTTAAAAAAAACTTGTGAACACGCTCAACATTTTGAAATATATAAGGTCAAAACAGTTCACAGAAACAATAGTTATGAGGTTGTTTTTTTGAACCAGCTGAGCTTTCCACTCTCCCCTCCCTCTTCCCTTCATCCCAGTTTTTATTTTCTCCTCCTCAGTGAGTACGTTTCCTCCCACTACCTCTCCCCTCCTACGCTCGCCCATTCTCTCTAAGCTCCGTGCGATGATAAATATCCATTTTCATCTTTAACATATGCCCCCTGCGCTTGCCCGCTGGCACAGACAAAGTCAAACACATACTCACAGACTCTGCAGCGCACACACCCAGACACACACGTGAACACGGCACCCTGATGAATAACTCATTCAGTCTGACCTTGGGGACTTTATCTCTTGTGAGAAAGAAATTAAAAAAGATAGAATGTGTATGTGCTAAACTAATCAGGGTAATCTGCAGCTTGTTTTTTCTTCTGTGTGTTTTATGTGTATGTGCTGCGGGGGAGTCAGGGTAATTGCTCCCTCTCTCTCTCTTCATGGAAGCATGTTGAAGCCTGTTCAACATGCTGCAGAACTAAGCCTGTTAAAGCAGCACACGGATGCTCGGCGCCACCTCAGGGAGCCTGTGCACGTCCGCACACGCACACTAAAGCATGTAACATTGTATATGAACATGTTCCCTCAGAGTTCGTGGACAAAAAGACAAAGACATGATATAGACTGGAACAGCCAAACACACAGACTGCATCCATGCTCCTGTCTCCATGTCTTCACCGCCTCTACTCTCCTCAGTGAATGAATATCGGGCGGACTTCCTCGACAAAGCCCATCTCAGTTCTCTCCCACATTTATCTCTCCCTCTTTCTTCCTTTGCTTCCTGCATTTCAGTCAGATGGCTTCTTGTGGACCGCTGGGAGCTGGTGGTGCTGAGGCTGTAGCTGATGCATAAAGGGGCCTTGTCTAAAAGAAAACGGTGGCAAAATAAGGGTTTGGTAAAATCCTCCTAGAATCCACAATATCCCAGAAAAATTAAATTTAGGTGTACCTTGGCGTCATGATCAAGTTGAAATTAATTAGAAAATAATACATTTAATAGCCTTTTTTTTTTTTTACATTTATAGATTTATTGCATTTAATATCTGTTGTCAAAAAAATTGGCTCTATTTTTACGCACATTTTAAATGAGACAAGTGGTTGATTAGCAATTTTTGGGAGATTTTATGATAATTTTAGTTTAGTTTATGCATTTATTCTAGAAAAACATACTGTGTCTCTTTGTTTAAGACATTTTAAAGTAGGGTTCAGTGAAAACCTCATTAGGCCTGTCACGATAACAAATTTTGCTGGGTGATTAATTGTCTCAGAATATATTGCGATAAACAATAATATTGTTTGAAATTTGACAATAATTAGTAATTGCAAATGTGCAATTAGCAATTATTGTCAAATTTAAGAAGAAATGTTGGTTAAATTTGTTTTGAGTATAGTACATTTTTTGACCACCGGATGACAGTATAAGACCGTTTGAACCGAAGGATGGATAGTGAGGGAGTGAGCAGCGTGTCTCTAAGAAAAATGAGAGGGCAGCCCCTTGACATGACATAGGCGGTCTCTCCTTCCTGTTTTTTGGTTCTCAAAATGGCAGATGCACTGTGTGGTTTTAGCTCTCTAGCATAGCATTTGTCACACAAAGATTTAAAAAAAAAAAAAATCAGTAAACAAGTTCTCAGCTTCTTTTGCAAAGAAAAACAACTTTTTACATGAAGGCACGAGTTTCAACTGTGAATTTTGGAGCTTCGACAAGCCGGAGTTTTTTTTCCCCCGAGGTCAGCCTGTTAGCTTAGCTTGTAGCTTAGCTTCTTTTAATGATCCAAAAGTGCGATTTTGGATGGTTAAAACAGATTTTTAAGAGAAAAGAGAAAGGAAGGGGTCATTGAAGAGCACCAGAGTTGAGCTTTTTGTCATCCAGTGTCTTCAGTAGAAAGAAAGAGATACAAAGAAACGATAAAGTTGATAAATGAAAATTATCGACCTCACTTTAATTTATCATGAGATTAACTGATTTATTGTTTATCGTGACAGGCCTAAACCTCATGAACAAATAATATCTTACCCGTTGTAGATAGTTTTTTGAACAGGTGAAACAGTAGTTCTGACAGGATTAATGAGCTAATACTAGTCAAAGTGGGGCCAAGACTAAAATGCATTCCTGTCATTTTAGAATTACTCCAAAAATTCAAATAAACATTGTTTAACAAACTTTTACACTACTGGAAAAACAAAAAACATGCATCTTGAAAACCCACTAGAATGGTTGCCAGATTAAAAAAAAAAAAGTAAATATGTAAAATTATTGAGTGTTAAAGTGACATTTTGAATGCCCTTTTTCAGAAAATCTTATTAGAAGTTAGATCCAGAGTTGCCTTTTTAAAATACCTTCAATTCATTCAAGTGACCAACACTTGTTTAAAAACTACATAGAAAATACATTAAATTAGAACAAAAATATCAAATACAAAAAAGGCATACAATGATGAAATTACTTTAAATATTATAATGTAATTTATAATGCCATGTACGGCACAATTAGTCATCAATATTTATTAACCTCAATAAAGAGATTATAAACAATCATAAAAATAAATTAGGTTAAAAAATATTTTTTTGTTTCAAATTGAGGTAATTCATGGAGCCATCTCCAACAGGTAAGATGTTAACTCTTCAGAACACGTCCACAGAGCCCCTCTGTTATAGGATTGTGAAAACTAGACGTGTTCAGTAGAAGAAATGCTTAAAGCACCCCGAGGCGATCCTCTCACAATCTCATTAGAGCATTTAACCTCCTAAACGTTCCCCATGTGGCAACGATCCGGCTGAAAGAATGCGCCTGGATGGAGTGCGAGGGCCAACACACGCTCTCACACGCCGAGAAAAGTACATACCTCATGGGTAAGAATCAACTTTAGGGTGAAGTAACACTAAAAACTGTCCTGTGTTCCACCTTGTGCGACACTGAAAAGCTCATTCTTAGAAGGAGCGTGGTATTCATGGCTTTGTTCAGTGTCAGAGCTGAGGTATGTGATCAGAGCAGTTTATTATTTGTCAGGAAGTCTTCTTCTAAATGACACTCGGGCTCACCTGAAAAACAAGTCACTCATTTCTGACAAACCCTTTGTTCAATTTTAACTCTTTGCATCCGTGTTTGTCTTTTTTTTTAACGCAGCCACACTGTGTGCACTCTACAGTCGCACCAACGAGTCTCTGCACGCACCAACGTTAACGCACACGCGTGTTCTTAGACGTTTTCAGACTCACCGCTCTCCCTGTTCTCCGGCGCCCCTCTTTGCTCATCCAGTCGCAGGTCACTGAGGAGATGCTCCAAGATCTTGAGCGGCGTTCCCGACACCACCACGTACCTGAAAGATGAAGAATTGCAATAGTCTTCTGCACCAGAGCGCGAGTGCCAACTGCACCCACGTCCGTCTCGCCATGATTTCTCTCTCTCTTCCTCCACATAATCATCATCATCATCAATGTAAGGAAAATTGGGAACGTCAAACGTGCAGGTGTCTGAATCCGCACGGTCTTCCTCGCTCTCATCCTCATCATCTATATCCTCCTCTGCCTCTGCAAGAGTAGCTAGCTCTGAGGTCATCCTCATGTCTTACTGTATGTCAACAAACCGCCCTCCAATAAGTTTTGCCCTCCCAGGAAGAGTGATCCTCCATGGGGTACAATGTCCCGTTGTCTGCTGCTGTCAGCTACAAGCCCGTAAGATTAAAACCTTCTCTCTGACAGCTTCTACAGTAGCCCTGCGAGGGAACTGAACGCTGCCGAGGATTGCTTTGAATTGTATACACATAACAGAGGCATTGAACCTGCCTGTTACCGACACGCCCTCATTTGTGCCCCGGGCCTTGGCAAACATTACACAAAGAAATCAACGTCCAACACATACAGTTTATGACCCTAAACACTCTGAATGATGTGTTAAAAAGTGCCAACTTTTTCCACTAAAAACAACAAGTCATTCTTTCCTTCCTGCTCCCCTGCCAGAAGCTAAAGTTATCTCAGTCAAAGTGTCATCGTCAACACAAATGGTTTACATGTGCATGCAGGAGTGTGTAGTTGCAACTTCAAATCCCAAAGAATAAAAAAAAGTAAAGGAGGATGAGAACTATCATTATGCTTTTGTTGCTCACAACTGTCAGCAAGGAGGGTTCTCATTATGTAGGGAAGTGAGCTGACCTCTTATTGCAGTCGTCCTCTCTGGACCCGCCCCCTGACGATGTAGGCGAGGGCCGGTCTGACGGAGACGTCACTGATGACACTACCCTCTGCAACACCAATACGTCTCGTCCCCTCTCCTTCAGACAAACCCTCCCCACCGCCTCCTGAAATAACAAAAAGGACATGTCACAAAGTGAAGCAAGGACAAAACTGCTGGAAGCCCATTAAAATGGCACTGAATGTTTCATTTCAGCCAGAACAAGCATGAAACAGCCTTAAACACAAAATCCCTTTTTAATGATATGAATCCAGACTTTAGTTGCTTTTTAGGTATCCTTTTATAATTTCTAAACGTCTAATTTATTGCAGGCATAAATCTGCATCAGAGCACAAAAAACATTATAAATCATGTCGTCACTGCATTCTTTGTCCACCAGAGAGCACTAAATATTTTTTTCATTCATTCAACCTTTATTTCTACAGGTTAGTCTCACTGAGCCACCAGGACTCATTTACAAGAGACCTGTTTTAAACAAAGAACACAGATGAGGCACAGACAACAATACATAATCATAAAAAATAAACATATAAAATGAAAAGTAAATGGAAAAAATTATATAAAATACAAAACAAAAAAACAGCTTCATTATAAAGAGATGTAAAATACTAAAAACAGGAACATGTCTGCATTGGTTTGAACTTAACAGATGTTTAAAGTCACTTAGGGAGGTCAAGGTTGAGAGCTTCAGATTTTTTTTGCAAAATATTCCAGGATACAGGAGCAGAGTAGGAGAAGGCCCTGCACTGAGGGAACACTGCAGGTAATGATGTCCTGAGAGCGCACGCTGTAGCTGCACTCATGCAGAGACATGTAGGAGGAGATGTATGAAGGCAACAGACCAAGAAGTGATTTAAAGATGAAAATGTACCAGTGAGAGAGACTTTGTGAAGTTAATGATGACCAGCTAACCAGTGAATACAGGGTGCAGTGGTGGGTACAGTAGTTACAGCCAGTTATGAATCTTAGCGCACCGTGATAGACAGCGTCCAACATCTGCAGGGTACTTGTAGGGGCGTTCATGTAAATAATGTCACCGCAGTCAATGGAGGGAAGGAAAGTCACAGTTACAAGGCGTTTTCTACCATTCAGAGTTAAACAGGATCTATTTCTGAAGAAGAAACCCAATTTTACTTTCAGTTTATTTACCAAATTTTAGACACAAGGCTTAAAAGAGAGCTGTGCACTGACCAAGATACCCAAGTGTTTGTAGGAATCGACAAACTCAATAGGAGCACCTTTCGAAGATACAGTAGAAGGAAGGACTGCTGGGACCGACTTCTTGTTTGAAAACAACACTCCTTTGGTTTTATCAGCATTTAACACCAGTTTGAGACGGAACAAATCTGACTGGATGATGTTGAAAATAGTCTGTAAAAGCTGGAAGACCTTAGCAACTGATTTACCTCGACAATAAACAACTGTGTCGTCAGCATAGAAATGTAAGGATGCATCAGGGATGATCTGACCTGCATTACTTATGTAGATTGTGAAGAGGGTGGGTCCTAAGATTGAACCTTGTGGTACACCGTTGTTAACATTTAGATAGCTGGAAGAAGTACCGTTATGTTGATTAATAAATTTTAAATATGTTGTATCTTTAAATTATTTCAAAACTATGTAAATTCATCTTGTTTAGTTGATCATAAAAGTTTAATAATCACATACGCATACACTAAATCCATGTAAATACAGCTGCTCCCTGCTCAATCACAAGGTAGGATCACATTTCCAGTCTTTTAAGGAACTATGAGGCATATTAAATTACAAAGAGCACAACTAGGAATGTGGGCTGACACCTGAAATGATCTCGCCTAAAAATGAGCAGCAACACAAAGCACAACTCTGACACACACACACACACACACACTACTGTGATAGTCCAGTGTAAATGGAATAGGGTTCGCTATGAACAAAGGTTCACAATAAGAACCAGCCGGAGGAGAACAGAGCAAAAAAGAGACAAGAAAAAGGGAGATGGATCAAAGGCGGAGGAGTGGGAGCAGAGATGAAGGAGGACGTCTCTCCTCCAGATGCTCGCTGCAGTCTGTGTCGCAGCCAGAGCGACTGAGCAGCAATCAAAACGGATACGCCGAGCTCGAACGCGGCTGCCGGCTGAATTAATCACACGTTGACTTCACTGTATTTGATCAAAGTGGTGAGACTTGGGAAGAAAAAGCAATTCAGCTGAACACAGAAGTTTACAACAGAGGACCTGGAATGTGCAATCAGAATAGTGGGAATCAGGATATGTCAAGAACAATCAACAAAAGGTACAAACACTCACAAAGCAGCACACAAACACAAATACACACACGTTCTGTGTAACTGTCAGATAGAAGACGGTCTGATCCTCAGAGACAGCAGGTGGGAGATAACTCAGGTCAGACGAAACAACTGGCTCCCAGAGCTCTTTGTGTTTGCAAACAAGCTGCACCGACCCGTTATGGATTATTATGCAGATGTTCAGCAGCCACGTGATCCTCCAACCAGATGTGGTCCTGACACAATCTGATGGTTTTTTTTTATTATTTTGAAAGTGATTTACTCATTCAATCATGCTGTGTACAACAGATGTCACATATAAATATTTATATTTCCTTTTAGAAAGTGCCTAAATATACGATGCCAAATGATCAAATAGTTTAATGTCATAAATATGTAATTAAAGGTCGTAATTATGAGATCAGAATCAGAATCAGTTTATAATCGCCATGTCAATGAACGAGGTTCACAAACTAGGAATTTGCTGAGATATGAAGGAAATTGATAACATATTTGGAACTAATATGTGTCGAAAGGTTTAACAAAGCCACCCATTTCTTGATGTGTGGATGGGTCCAGTGCTTGACAGAATTTAGGGTTTGGGTTGAAGCCACAGACTTTAAATGTTGTTGCTGAAATTTAGAAACACTTTAACACAAAAATTAGTAAGAAAATTGTTAATTATATACAATTCAAAACAGACAGATCTAAACCTTACGGTTATTCATCTGTCTATCTGCTTTATTTGTCGCAGTGGTACAGGCCCAAGAGGAAAACTCAGCTCCTCCTGGGGTTGTCCAAGGAGTTCCCAGGCCAGAGAGGATTTAACTCCTCCAGCACGGTGGAGGAGTGCTCCAGGGTCTCCCCTCTCAGTGGGACTTGTCCAGAAAACATCCAGACAAGACACCCAGGAGGCATCCTGATCAGCTGGCTGAACCACATCATCTGCTCCTTCTGATGAGGAGAACCAGTGGTTCTTCTTCATGATAACAAAGCTCCTCACTTTATCACTAAGGCTGAGCCTGGCCACCTCACAGAGGAAGCTGCTGAAATTTGGGGTCTTGTTCATTTGGTCAAAATCCACATTTTAATATGTTTGAGTTAGACTGAAGATGGACTAAAAGAAATCAACAGCTTTGCTTTTTGACTAAGCTCCTTCATCACAACAGGCCGGAGCAATAACTACATTACTGTAGATGGGAACCCTGATCCAGCCTGCTCCATCTTTTTGAAATAGAGTGGACTTAAAACTCTAAATGATAGCTTAATTAAATTTCATTTTGTGACATAAAAGGCACAGTAGGATAAACAGCCTAAACTGGAGCAAGGTTATTAGGCCTGAACTGAACCAGTGAAATAGTTCTGCAGGACTGACTGTTGTGGCTGCAGCAGGAATACGTTTGACCTTTAAAAAAACAGGATGCATTTTTAGTAAATTGATTCGACTTCAGAAAATGCTCAGAAATCGGTCAAACAAAATGAGTTTCATCCCTAATGTATATTTAACATAACTCTAATGTCTTATTTTTCTCCTTGGTTCGTGTTTATGGGGGTCAACGGCCTCATTAGAATAAATTGTATGTTCATGAAAGCTGTTCTGTGTTGTACACTTTACTTACAGTAAGTCTTCAAACTTGTTAAAAACTCAACAATAACCAAAACACTTGATTCAACTTCACTACAACTGAACAGAAAAAATAAAAAAATCTATGCTCAACTGATGCATGAGCAACGCTGAGGTCCAGCAGGCCAGACTGTCTTTACTGCACAAACCTAATATTTTTTTTAGTCTCTCTGACAAATTAAACTGTGATTATCAACTCCAGGTTGTTAAAGTGAGATAAGTGCTGTGTGGATTTGACAGCTAATTTAAAGAGATGTGACTCGCCGTTCAATTAATTACATCTGGACAGGCACCAACACCACACCCTGCAGTCTAGATCTGATGTCAAGATTAGACATTTACTAAGTGGGCTGAGGGGGGTGTGCACTTATCAACTACAGTTCAAATACCACCCAACTTTATCGTAAGTCTCCTTCCTCTATCAGCATCAAACTTTCCTGCCGCCTGACACTATCAGATATATAATAAGGCATAAGCAATCCAGAAATACGCTGGAGGAAAAATAAACTTATATAACCAGGAATAAGTACCGAGTAAACAAAAGAGAAAAAGAATGTGTTGTACCTTTGCATATACGCCAAGATAAACAACTCAGAGCCAAGAATGGAAGAAGGAAGTGTTAAATACACAATACAAATTCAAGAACAGTATACCAGAACGTGTCTCAAAAGGAACACAGTTTCCATTCAAGCACAGATATATTTACAAAAATAATCTTTAAATAAGTAGATATTTATGAACTTCTACAAAAAGATCAACTTCAATTGGGAGAGGACCCGAGTTTTATAAAAAGGAAAAATATGCAAAATGTGCGCTTGAATGTAGGGAACACGAAGGAACATAAGGAACATAAGGAACACGAAGGCACACGAAGTTATGCAATAAAAAAATGATGTATTTTGAGAACGCATGGAGGAGAGCGGGCCTGACCTATAAAAATCAGAAAGTTACACTTATAGAAACTTTCAGAAAACTTTTTCAACACCAACAAAATAAAATAGACATATTGCATTTCCTGCAAAAACGCAGTGTGAATGCTTATTGCAGAAGAACGTGCTGAAAAACAGTTAACATTAGCTAAAAACAAAAAAAAGCTCAAATGTAGCTGAAATGAAAGAACAAGCATAAATTAGCAGAAGAAAGCAGAAAGAATTTTGCTGAATTTGGTTACAATAAGCAGAAATAAGCACAAAAAAATAGAAAATCAGCTAATAAAGCTAAAATTAGCAAAAAAATATGAGCTAAAAAATGTGGAATTAGCTGAAAAATGCTATTTGCATAAAAACTGCTAAATAGTAGCTGAATTAGCAGAAAAAGCTGACACTAGCTGAAAAAGCTGAAAGGAGCATAAGAAGCTGAAATTAGCAGAAAGAAGTTAATTAGGCTGAAAGTAGCAGAAACTACAATGAAAAACTTGAATTTATCTGAAAACAGATTAAATTAGCTAAAAAATGCTAAAAAGTAGCTGAAAAGTTAGAACACGCTTAAATTTGCAGAAGAAAGCAGAAAGAACACATTTGACCAATTATGCTGAAAAAGACGCAGTGATTAGCAAAAAACAGCTTAAAAGTAGCTAAAAAAAAAGAAGAAAGAAGCTAAAATTGCCAGAAGAAAGTGGAGAGCACATTTTTGCTGAATAAACTGAAAAAAGTTTAAATGAGTGCAAAAAATGTGGAATTAACTGAAAAAGCTAAAATTAGCATAAAAAAAAGCTAAATAGTAGCTGAAATTGCAGAAAAAGCTGAAATTAGCAGAAATAAGCTGAAAGGATTTTTTTTTCTTCTTTCAGCTGTTCCCTTCTTCAGGCGTCGCCACAGCGAACTATGTTGCACGAAGACATGGCAAATATTTTTACACCGGATGTCCTTCCTGACACAACTACAGAACACTGAGCTACCACAGCCCTCTGTGTGGAGCAGAGAGCTGCTATCTAGGGAGCCCGGGGGAGCAGGTGGGGGGGTTAAGAGCCTTGCTCAAGGGTCCAGATTGGGGCAAATGAGGGCGGAGGCAGGTGTGGCCTGGCCTGAATTCTGGGTCAGACCAGGCCGGGCACAGGTCTGGGTTAGAAATTCCAGATCTCGTTAGGATACAGGTAAAACGACTGTAAATTAACTGACAAGTCGTTTTGTAATCCGTGGTGTCATAACTTCAACATTTGCAGACAGATTTGTACACGAGAAAAAAAAAAAAAAAAAAAGATTGTACAGGACACACGATTGTCAACTTTAATATTACCGACATGATTGGGACAGTACTGTACAGTAAAAAGTTAACAAAACAAAACCCTTCAGACAGTTGCCTCCATGTTGTAGTTTTCTCTCAATAAGCCTACACTGTATCGCCTCTCAAAAGGACATTTCCCAGGAGCCACCTAGAAGTCCCAACAGTGCTTTCAGCTATTGTTTTCTGCTGAAATGGAGGGAAAGTTTTGATCCGATCCAAAAATGTTTGGTCCTTATTCATAGTGAGACTTCAGCGCTCAGTGGATGCAGAGAGCAGGGGGAGGTGTCAGGAACATAACCCCCGCGATAGATGAGGGACTACTTTACTCCATCTCATCAGGATTGTCTTTTTTATTCATTTAGCCTTTATTTATACAGGGTGTCTCATTGAGCCACAAGAAACCTGTTTAGGGAGCAGATGGGGGTTAACGGCCTTGCTCATGGGCCCAGAGTGGGGCGAATGCGGAGTGGGGGCAGGTGTGGGTGCTTCACCTACCCCACCCACATTTTTGATGTTGTCAGTACCGGGGCTTGAACCGGCGATCTTCCGATCACAGGCCCACCTTCTTTAACCTCAGCGCCAACACTCCCTCTTCTTTACCATCCATGTCATACAAGGACACATGAAACAACAGTACACTTTAACTACATGCAAACATTTTATCAGAGCAAACTAAAAATACAAAGAACATACAAAAAGTTCAACGGTCTAGCATTCCTTAAAGGAATGCATATCGCCCGCCACCTTTCATGCCTTAGATTTGGATGAGAACATTTTATGTTAACAAAATGACGGATTTGCAGCAGTTTTTGTCAAACCTTAAGAGAAACTTCTGCTCAATCTCATGCAAGATTGTAAGCTGTGACTTCTCCGTGTCTAGCTCATGAAATTTGAGCTCAGTATCTGGAAAACTGTTTGAGTTAGAACCATTTTTGTGTTGACTAACGTTGACTAACTGTAGCTGCCATCTTGAATTGGATTGGCAACCACATTACTGTCTACCTTTGCCTTTCAATGGCAAGTGATAATCAATTAATGACGACAAAACGACAGAGAACTATAACCGAAACTAACGTCGAACTGCAAGAACAAATTGATGTGTGTATAAAAAAAGTCAAACCCAGGATGTGTTCGACATTATGGATGGTCTTCTGCTCTCATTCACACAGTTCTTTCCTTTCACACACATGCAATATAACATAAAATGTTTCCGAAGAAAGGTGGCCTCACGGAAAGCCTAAAGGAAGCAGTCTTGTTTGTCTTTCCGGTCTTTTCCAGTTTGTGTGTTTGAGCCCACAGGACAGAGTCATATCTGTGCTGTGATGGTGCTCGGCTTCATTTCAGGAAACTATGGATAAGAAGACAGTTCTTTTAGGGTCGGCAGTGCAGATAAATAGAACGCTCACTGTACTGTGATTCCCATGAGAAGTGGAAAGTAACATGGGCACGGCACAAAGCGTACCTGTGTGGATGACTGCTGTGACCGTGTGATTCTTTTTTTTAGGACGAACTCTGATGGTGGAATAAAAAAAGGATAAAGACCTCAAGTCCAAAGGCAGAGAGCCACTCGACACTCTGCTGACATGAGTTGTATCACTATGGAAACAGCTCAAATCAGTCTGAGCTTATTCGTCATGAAAAAAGGATACCTAAAAAATCTCCATGACAACCAAGTCAAAAGAATGGTCTGTTGCACATAAATCAGGACGCTCGGTTTGGATTTTTTTTTTCCCTAATTCTGCAGTTGCAGTCTTATTTTGAACATATTTATTCATAAAAGGGTTTAAATATTAAAGATGTTTGCAAGCCAGCAAACTTTCTTAAACTTTAAAATAATACCTTATGGTTCCTTTTAGAATGAGTTACTTGTATAAGGAACATGTCCTTAAGGATGGATTTTATTTTGAAAGGATATTGTTGAGATGACACACCTACTCCTTGGTCTAATGCGTTTTTATTCCTGCAGCAATAAACTGAAACGCTGCACGACCTCTCACGACCTGATGTGAAGCCCCGACTACGCTTTGTGTGAACATAAATAAAAATGCTTTCAAATAGTCTGTTAATTCACATTAAATTTAATATGTCACTGTTGCAAAATAGTTATTTTTTAATTGGTTGATGAACACCTAAGTGGAAGAAAACTGGGACAATATTGATCAGGTAAACACAAATAAGCTACAATGATTAAAATAAATGCATTTAACTGGTGTTTGTTATTAGTTTGCTTAACTCTTTAATACTTTGTCACATTTACTAAATAACTTGAAAACATTTCTTTAAGTAGCAATCATCCACTTGATAATTTTAACGTCTGAAGCTTACTATGCTGCAAAAACTTGCTAAACACATTTCCACATATTGTATATGTACTGTGTACATTTAATTACAGCATTTATTTGCAAGCTTTATGACACTCCAGGCTAATCTAGTACTCGTTTATTTAATGAGCTGCCCCAAAACAATCTTCTTACTCACTCAGTAATCACTATACACTCTAAAATGCACTATAAAGTTGTACCAACGAAAGCTATGCTTCCATTAAACTTTAATTAGTTTAAGTCAGAGAAGCTATGGCATCAAGATTTCCAGTAATTGCTATGATACGCAGCACTGCCCGTCTTTGTTTGACCTCGTTTTGCTGTTCTATAACCGAGAAACAAAAGTGAAATATTGTGCATGAAAAATCCCCACAGCTGATCTTCAGACAAACTTGCTGCGCTGATAAAGCTGTGGCTGTCACAGTTGTTATGTAGGCATATATCAGCCTGATTTTGCATCGCTTTCTGCCATTGGGTGTACCATAGAGTGAGATTATAAAGTACAACGCTTTACTAACACCCCACTTATTAGGAGCACACTCTGACTCAGCCTGCCACAATGCCGGCAGTGTATGAACATACGCACAGGAGCTCTTACAAATGATTATAAGCTCTAGCCAGCAAAGGGACACACACAAATGAACGCACACACAAAAAAATACACAAGGTTCTTGACGGCTTGTAAAAACGAGCATGAGATCGCATCGCAGTGAGCCGTTACGAACTCCCACATTAGGCGAGCTGCACCAGAGAGGTGGTTGTTTCAAGTGATCCAAATGAAGCCGAGCTCTGTGCACCTGCACTAACAGTGTCTATCTGGTGTGTGTGTTTTAGCTCGCAAACGTGTCCTCGTGCATCACAGGTGTAGGACAGCTGGACACGTGTTTATTTTACAGATCAAGAAAACCACCATTTATGATGATGCTGATGACAAGTTACTCCCATAAATCCATGACTAACCACGCGCTTAAAAGTGACGACAGTAATGACAGCATTTACCACATGACGTGCATTACTCGCCACTCACGCTAACCATACAGCCGCAACACTTTCTGCAGATTATACGGTGCACAGAACATCATCAGGCCTGAAAATACACCGCAGATGTTGCATGACATTAAAGTCACGTTGCACTCACCGCTTGGTTCCTGTCAGGTAGACGGTAGTTGTGGTTTTGCAGCAGCCGACAGCCGTCTTTGGCCAGCCGTTGGACGGCCTCCAGCCCTAGCCGGCTGGTGAGCTCCTCACGGCCGCATACGGTCCCCATACCTCCCCCGCTGCTGCCGCCGCCGTCTCTCAACGCACACACCCCGCCCAGCTGAAACACAGGGGGCACAAAAACGTACCTCAAACCGCAGTCCCAGGACATGCTCGAAACACTCAAAAAGTTTGTTGGAGTGCAGAGGTCATTGCAGTTTGTTCAGTTCGTCCAAAGGAGGTCTGGGAAACAGTTCAGGCATAATCCAGATGTGATGCAATGAAAAGTTTGGAATTGCCTCTTTATGTCCATGTGAGAAAAATGAGAATAAACGGTAATCCCATGCCTCCCTTGATTCTCTGTTATCGTTTCTTGTCTCCGATTCTTTCCATCTTTTAAGAGTCTGTAATTCCTTTTATCTGTTGCACTTCTCTCTTTGTGTCAGTCTGCTCGCTCTGTGTCAGAGGATCTGGCAGAGAAAGAGTGAGTGTGTGTGATTAGTAGTAAGTGGGAGGAGAGGGTGTCTGTGTGAAGTGTGTGTGTTTCCTCCTTCTGTGGTCAGGACTTGGAAATGTGTCACTGTCCTGGAAGTCCCACTGAGGTGCGTAAAAAGTTGAAGAACAGGAATATAAAACGATGTCTTCAAATAAGAAAGAGAAAGACTTCTGAGATGGAAATACATTTATTCAAAAGATCTGACGAATAGTGGAGAAACTAGTGCTTTTTCCTGATAAGGTGTGTTCCCTTGGGTGCAGCTTGTGTGATGTTATCACCGGTGGCGAGCAGCTCGGGATGTTTATTTTCCTTGGAAGGGAGAGAGAAGGTTGTTTCGTTTGGCTGAGAGTCGGGCAACCCTTCCTGTGAGCTCTGCTATCCCACGGTATTCGCTTCAGCAGAGTGTAACACACGGATGAAGAACATTATTCATTTTGTTTACTGGAGAAACACCCCCCGATGACAACTCTTATCTTGTGGAGTGGCCACGTACACACACAAATTATATCACAGCCACAGCCCCGTGTCCCTTGGCGTTTCCTGTAACCTGTTTTCAGCTTCCTGTCTAAGACGTAGAACACACCAAGATAAACCTGTCTGCAGGCTGCGTTTACTTGTATTGTGTTTAATTCTTATTGTCTGAGACCGTGTCCTTCATTTTCCTTTGATCCCAGAAAAGCTTCATTGGACCAACGTAAACAAAGTATAGTAGTCTCTCACTACTTCATGGTTCATTTCTTGCGGATTTGCACTATCTCCATTTTTCAAAGGAAGATTGGACATGACACACAATTGGCTGATTGATGGATGAGCCACACGATCAGCATGGAAATGTTATTTAAAATAAACTATTTTAAATTATTTGGCACCTGATGCACCTGTGTGCAGTCCACAGCTGCAGAAGCTCTCTCCTGCAGCGGAGAAGTGGGCGTGGCCAAGAGCACTGGCAGAGTGCAGCAGGATGCAGAGAGCTGAGATCATGACATGCTGTGCTCTTTTAGTGCGTTTAGAAAATTGTTTGGAACATTGCAAGAGTGTGGGAAGGATTTAAAACGCTGTAATATATACCTGTATACAAATACTAAAATAAACTACTACTTACTACTACTACTACTACTTGTGTACATAATTTTGTTCCATTTCATGTACCACATGAGATGATTCACTTATTGCAGGGTGGGGTGGGGGGGTGGAGGAGACATGGTCCCAAAACCCCCGCAATAAACGAGGGACTACTGTAAATCAAAATTCAGTACTTTTGAGCTGCTTTTAAAAAGCTTCAATGTGTCGTCCTTGACACTTTGTAGCTGCACATGCTTTGTTGTCCTAGTTATTTATCGATGTAAAAGATCGACTTGGTTAATACTCGCGCTACATCTACAGTCAGCAGTGGTTATCAGCCCCCCCACCCCACCCCAGAGGGGCTTCGGATCAATCTGATGATCGGTGATCAGTGAAGCAGGTTGTGATGTGCACTGCATTTGTCGCTGGTGCATCTCTTGTTTACTTGTAAATACAAGGAAATGATTCTGCTCATTGGTAGTTGACTTATAACATATGGTAAAATATACATTTTAGTTCTTATATATATTTTTGAAAATGTTCATCTTGTAGTCAGTGACAGATATAAGAAGGGTTGAGTTTGTTTATAAGCGTTCACGTTTTCTTCGGTCATTTCTGGTCCATTTTTTATGAGTGTCTTCCTTCCTTCCTAATGAAAACTGCGTTTCTGTATTTTATTATTCTGTTTATTAATAAAATTCTCAAATACTCTGTATTTTATCATCTGTATGCCTTCATCTCTTTAGATTTTGGTTTCAATAAGCCCAACTTGTAATATGTGAAAGTGGTCTTGATCAGTAGTTCTTCAGGTTTTCTGAGGGATTAAGTTTTTCTTTGGCTGCACTTTCTTTCTAGTTCCTGACTATTTGAAGGAGTTTTTTTTTTCTTGTTTGTTTTACATTTTAATTTTGACTCTTAAATCATCCAGCCATTAAAAAAAAAAACTCACCTAAACTCAAGGAATTAACAGTGTTGTGTTAATTTAGCAAAACAAAAAGAAAAAAACAGTTTAATTTCAATCTCTAAGCCATTTATTGTCACAATAACACAATTTGTTCTCATATCTTTGATCTATGAAAAATACCAAATATAACAGTTTGTCAGACATGAAATAGCATTTATTACTCAGAAGCTCTTTAGATTCCTAAATAGCTTTCAAGTCAAATCTTGTTATACAGTAAATGAATAATTGGAGTATGAGGCATCTCTCAGGTTTCTGTGTCAGGTCGTGTGTTTGCTGATTTTCTCCTAATTCTTAAAAACATGGCTCATCTGTTGTGGGTTTAATCCCACCAACATGCAGTCACTTGTTGAAGTGCCTCTGAGCAAGACACCGAACCCCTCACTGCCTTCGCTGTGGGTCCCATCAGTGTATGAATGTGATCTAAAACACGGATTACACTATAAAATTATTTACTCAGATTAGCTTTGTGGAGATGTAGTAGAGTGAATGGATAATACACAGATCGTGTGGTAAAACACTCAGTATACTGGTTGGATAGAAAGGTGCTATACAAGTAGTCCGTTTATCATTTTTGACCTCCAGTTGTCCATTTTTCGCTTTTTTTTTTAAAACTCACATCTGATCCCTGTCACTGTCAGTGTCTGGACAGAAAGAGGTTTAAAAAAAAAAACAGTCAAATTATTGATCACTTTAAAGCTCTCAAGATAGTCCAGCTTCTTGAAAGGAAAGTATAAAGAAATTAGAGGTAGTTTAAAACTTTTGCACAAGCTGTCCTCTCTCTTCCGCTCCTAATTCCCCCGATGTGATGAGAGAATGAATAATTAATGGACAGAAAGAGGTTTTAACTGTACAGACATGGCATGAGAGAGAGCAGACGGGTTTCTGTTTGCTCTCTGCTCTGACCCGGTTTTCTAAGTTAAGCCACGTGTGTTCCTACAACCCCAGAAAACTTATTTTTAAGAGACCTTTAAAAGAAAGCCAGAGTCAGCAGCGGCCATTTGTTTGTTCTTAAAGATGGTGCAACTTTCCTGCAATATGTTGGAGCTGATCTGTTTCTGTTATTTAGATAGAGTTGACCATATTTAGTCTAATACACATTCTGTACTTGTACAAAAGCAACGCTTCACAGATCCTTGTTACGACCTACTCACAAAAGAGCAAGGAGAGAAAAATGAGCTACATTTGCAGATGGAATATGCTACAATGATTTAAAAAAATAGGGTTGTCTGCGGAAAAGTATTTTATTTCAAATCCTCAGTTTAAAGTATTGTTTTCTGACTTGGATTAGTCTTACTAGTTCTGGACCGTCTAAGGATAAATACAAGCTGCCTCAGTATCCATCTGTGTGTGTTGGTGTGTGTATTTCAGTTTAAAGTATTGTTTTCTGACTTGGATTAGTCTTACTAGTTCTGGACCGTCTAAAGATAAATACAAGCTGCCTCAGTAGCCATCTGTGTGTGTTGGTGTGTGTATTACCGGGCTGCTCTCCTCACTGGGCGTGCCAGACTCTTGGTGGCTCGTCTCTGTTGTCTCAGAGTCCTGCTCTGACACTGCAACCAAGTGATGACACAAAACAGACTTCACATTTATTGCACAACGTTGATTTTGTTGATAAATCTTCTGATAATGTCAATATGACAAAAACAAAATCAATACAGCTTTTTAAAAAAATACACACACACACTGCAGCTTGTACTTACAAGCTTTGCGAGTTTTTCGGGCAAGAGCAGCTGCCAACTCACTCTGGACCTGTAAAGAAAACGGGGGGAAGTAAATCCAGCTGCTTGTCTACCTTTTGGTACCATCTCAGATTTACATGCACGTACCGTAGAAGTTAGCCTCTCCAGAGCTTTCATCCGAAGAATCTCACTACAGATGTCCCTGTTACCTTCAGAGTCTTCCTCTGACCTAAAAGGGACAAGTTGGATTTGTTGCTGCAAAGTCATTCAATTTCCAAACAAACAGCTCACAGGTGGAAAAGTTTCCTGTAGGTGAAAACTTTATTTAAAAAAAAAGTTTTCTGCACCTCCACACTGCCCCCTGGCACCACAAAAGAAGAACTACAGTTAAAAAAAAAAGAGACGCAAAGGTCATTTACAAACCTAATTTTTTAATCTCTACTTTTAATTTTTGTAAAAAATAAAAAAAAACTACTGTGCCATGTAGCTGATGAGATTACCATTTATTCTTAGATCTTCCTCTGCATCGTTACAAAGGTAACTCAGTCAACAAAAATTTAACAAAACAGAGTTAAAAATCTATCATTGAATGAAATTTTGTTTTAGTCAGGTTTAACCCAACTAAAAATAAATCTATTTTTCGTTTGTGGGAAAATTTCACAGCAGACCTGAATAAACTGAAAATCTGCTTCCTGCAAACCCAAGCATGTCTGAAGGAACTTTCCTTCTTGCTCGTCTTTGTCTCAAGCGTTTGGTCTCAGCCAACTTTTGTTTCTCGTTCATGAGTTTTTTATGTAAAAGCTCCCGCACTCGCCTACTGATGTTAGTGAGGCTCTGCGTGTGTGCAGCAGCTGTACGCAGACGCCTGGAGGATGTACATGGATGTGAATCTGTTGTCGAGGATTTTTCCAAGCTTGTGTGCATCGGCAAATATAAACTGTTTGTTTTAAGTGCCTGTTTTTGACTGAATGTACTGTATGTACATGTGCAGTACAAAATACTTTCTCTTGAAAATTGTGGCTATGCCGTTTTTGCTTTATGTGCATATATATACACACACACACACACACACACACACACACACACACACACACACACA